ATATGTATATACTTAAATTATATGTCTTAATTTCCTGGTTTATTTTAATTTCCATTTTGTTTCACAAGTTAAATATAATTTTGTAAGCTATACTAAATATTTCCTGAAACAAGGCAGAGTATAGCATTCTGATTTCTGTAATTATTGGCTAGAGTATTATAGTATGCTTTATTCATTAAGAGAAAATTATAAAATCCTAATTTACGGGTATGAATGTGAAGATACAAAATTGCACACTCACCATTTCTAAGAACAGTAAGGTCTGTGTAGTTGGCCCAGCAGCTGTTAAATGGAATTGTTGTATTTCCACTAAGACCACTGATTTGGTTATTACTGGAATCCTTTAGAATAGCCTTCAAAGTTAGTGAAGTAACCCCAACTGATACACAATTACCCTAAAGGAAAAAAAAAAGTAGAGAAATATAACCATTGCCCTGTTATACATTTTTTTAAAGACATGCATAATTTTATTTTTAAAAACTACCTTCATTATAAATTTAAAATCTAAGGAACCTCCCTTTTCCCACCCAAGAAATTCATAAATATGAATGGCAGAACAAGTGTATTTAAAAAGAACGTTATTTAATTGTTTAAAGATGATATCTATTGGCATTAGTCTAATTTCTAAGAGGCAGTGTAACTGTCAGGTAGCAGAGGTATCAAGATTAAAAAAATTGACTCACTGTAGAATTTATAGCTTAATTCCTTCACTTAAACAAAGCTCTGAATTATGACTTACATCAGAATCTACTGCCTTTACTGAAGGCTGCTGGGAAAATGGCTGTCCTGGCTGTGCCGCCACTGGCTGAGTGATCACTGAGAGCGAGGACACAAAGGACACATAATGAACAGGAAATGCAGACCTTTCAACTGGTTGGGCAGTCACCTGTAAATGGAGATGAGTAACTAAGAGGTTTATACTTGATAAATTGCAGTCAGAGGTGTATATTCATTGTTTATTAAAAAATGTGTTCTATATATAAAATTAACATCTACATAAAGAATTTTTACAAATATTCAAAGCAAAGCACATTTTGTACCAATGAACAGTTTTTAGAATATAGTTCCTTCTTTCTAGTTACTTTATCTTTTCAATGATCCCATAAAAAAATTTGTTGTTGTTATGTGCCGT